CAAGACTTCCGGAGTTATTACATAGGATATAGATCACGTGTTTTGTTTTCATCTGCAACCTTTAGACCAAACGTATTTCTTTCTGAGAAGTATTTAACGCTTAAACTCCATCTGTTGGGAGAAATTCATATAGGCCTCTGTGTAAAGTGTTCATTATTTCTTACCCTTTTTGAATGAATCCGTAAACTGAACTTTCTATCAGCAGATTTCGTGAAAATCCTCTCCGTGGGTCCGTAGTTGTTTCGCTCGTACAGAGAAGATGAAAAACAAATGAACATTAATATGGGTTTCACAGGGATACGACATTAAAAAAGTAACGATTTTAAGTTACAAAAACGTTTTTTGTCTACGGCCCCAAAATTTAGCGAGATTGAAATCGGACCTATTTTGCAAATACGAGTATCTAGAAAAGAGCGAGATTATATTGCATACAAATACGACTGGAATTCATGTAACATTGATTATTTACTTTTATGATTATTGTGTTACGCCGTTTCATGCAGTGAGGATGCCATAATATGGAGAGTTTCTAGTTATAAGTTCGGGTTATTTTCATGAATCGGACGTTAAGTAATATTTAAAAGGTGGTCAAGTACATTATCTTGATACAGTGACGCCATCTAACTAACTGACTGACTAACTAACTAACCACATGCAGATGAACCCTTCTTGAGAAGCCTCCAGTTGTGCAGCTTCTCATGAAATTCCCAGCATTTTATGGAACCCGAAGCTTCATTACCGTGTTCACAAGAGCCCTCCACTGGCCTCTATCCTGAGCCAGGTCAATCCAGTCCGTACTACCCATCATATTTCTCCAAGATTAATTTTAATATTATCTCTCCACCTCCGTCTAGGTCTTCCTAGTGGTCTGCTTCCTTCTGTATTCCCCAGCAAAATCCTCTCTCTCTCTCTCTCTCTATATATATATATATATATTCATCTTCATCCCTATGCGTGCTACATGGCCCGACAATCTCATCCTCATTCACTTTGTCACTCTAATTATATCTGACGAATAGTGGAACTTCTAGTGCCTAAATTTTGTTACCTGTTTAAAACATATAGGCAGGGCATGTAGTAAGAATGGAGGCGAAGAGGAATACATACAGGTGGGAAAGTCAGAAGGAAAGAGACCACTAGGAAGACTCAGACGTTGGTGGGTGGACAATATTAAAATGGACCTTAGAGAGAGAGAGAGAGAATGGGACCGTACGGACTTGACTGATCTGGCTCAGGATAGGGACCAGTGGAGGGATCTTGTGACTACAGTAATGAACCTTCGGGTTCCATAAAATGCTGGGAAGTTGTTGACTAGATGCATAATTGGCGGCTTCTCAAGAAGGGCTCAGCTCCATGCAGTTAGTTTAAAACAGTGAATAACATGTGTACCTCCCCTCATAGAGTAGTATTGTTCAGTATAAATTCCTAGTAAAATTACTTTTCAGAATGCAAATAAAATTATTAAATATGAGCATAATTACTTTATTTACCACCATCATACATCTTATAATCACAATGAGGCAGTACATTGGTTAAAGTTAAATACAATAAATTTGTTCTAAAACGCCCGTGAGTTGCCAGTCAGAGGGTTGAGACAAGAAATGTTATGCTTATGGTAGAATTCATCTCTCTTTGTAAGTTACATCAGGGGTGGATGTGGGGATAATTTGTGTCTAGGGCTACTTAGTTCCACAGTAAGAGTAAATTGAAGTTGTCCCTGTGCTTAACTAATTAAGCGTTATGCCATGAAGGCGTATGGAGGAGTGGTGTATAGATTCAGATTTTCTTGACCTCGGCACTAGCTGGAGGTGAGTGGTCAGCTTCACGCCCCGGCCGCTTTACCCCCGGGGAAAGAGACCCCGGTAGCCAATGGATAGGAGGTTGGGTGGACCCTAGATCCGGTGTGGACGACATGGAGAAGTAAAAATTCTTTACTTGGACTCGAACTCCGATTCCTCGGTCGTCCATCCCGTAGTTAGACGCTATACCGAGTGCGCTATCTCGGTTCCACTTAGTTCCACAGTTCTTTTGTTACTGAAGCTATTTCCGGTGCAGTAAAACGCTGCAACTATCTCTTCCGAAAATGATACACGAAGGAATGACTTCCCAAACCTGAACTGTGATAGTTGCCTTTGTAATATACAGAATGTTCAGGAGGAAAGGTCAGTATTACGGGAGATCATTCTAAGCAAAAGCGTGTGTATGTTCATGCGTCCTATTCCGAACGGTTTCCGGGCTAGAGCTATTTCACTGTACAGTTCCAAATTTGTTCATGAGAAAGTGTTATTACGTACTGTTTCGAATACTGGTATTTATTGTTCAAGTGAGAAAGTTGGTACAGTTTACCTAGTGTAATACATTTTCGAAAATTCCACTGTCAACTTCAATGCACTTTGCAACTCTTGTGAGGACATGACGTGTTTCTCGTCTGTAGACTGTACAGTGAAACAGCTCTATCTCGGAAATCATTCGCAATAGGACACCTGTACATACACAGTTCAGCTTAGAATGACTGATGCTATGACCTCCCAGAATATTGACTTTTCCTCCTGGAACAATATACTATATATATATATTGGTCATTCTCCTGTACTTTTCTACTGAACCGGTGGGTACACCACTCTTTGAATAGTAGCGTCTAACCAGTTCTGAAAATCCACTGCTTCTCCTTGCTACAGATTCTCTATAAAGATTCCGAACAAACTATTCTTATGACCAGATTTATATGTGAAACTAGGTCTCTCCCATTACATACACAAAGTTTTATTTTGAATTTTCCCTTTTCCTTAAGTATCTTTAGCCACAGAAATCTTGCAGAATTTGCAACAAACACTAAACACCACAGGCACAAAGATTTAGGACTAAGGTTCTTGTTCAGCCTACGGAAAGGTAGCACAACAGAAATCAGGCTGAGTTCTGTAACTATGTGGTGACAATAAAAAGTACTATCTTCTGAGAAGTTACACCGTATAGTCTGGCAGAAGTTTACAGACGCTCCAGACGGGCGCACAGGTGTATGTCTTCAGGATCGAAGAGTAACCCAAGCAACAGGAAGAGTAAATATTCGATGCTGGCTTATTCTTGATCCTGAAGACAGAGGCATCGTGAATGGTTAGTAAATTACGTGTAGTTGTGCGGTGTTGCTGAAATGACTTTTGTGTTTTCACACGTGGAATACTGTGATATGCATTTTGTGTGTGGATTTTGCGGTGGCAATGCACGTGCTGCTGTTGAAGAGTACCAAAGGCGTTTTCCCGATCGAAGGATTCCATCTCGACGTGTATTTACGCGAATTTACCAGGCATTGCGTGAGACTGGTTCTCTTCCGAGTGTTTCTGTGCAGTCGGAAAGGGAGGATGTACATATGAGAAACACATGAGAGGACGTTCTTGAGATGGTTGAGAGAAGTCCGCGTCTGTCCACTCGTAGAATGGCCTCTCGCATCGGCGTATCACGTATGCAGGTGTGGCGAACTTTACGTGATGAAGAGCTGTATCCTTACCATGATCAAAGGGTACAACATCTGGAACCAGGTGACCATGCTCAGCGTATGGATTTCTGCCACTGGATAAAAGCTCATCCCGAACTGTTAAGCGTCATTTTATTCAGTGATGAGGCGTCGTTTACCCGGGACGGTGTAAATAATTTANAATTTTATGGCTTCACGTCACTCACAAGTTAGTTTGATGTTACGTACATTATTAACATTACAGAATCCACATATTCCTGCCAGTTTTAATATGTATTTTGTAATCAACAAGTGTGTAACACCTGTCAAAGTTTCACACTTCTCTGGCCATTATCTCCGTAACCGTTCAACTTTGGACATAGGTGTTTTGGATTATATCGGCATACTTTAACATAAGGAACACCCTCCCGAAGTTTGGTCCATTCCTCCTGGGACACCCTGTATATGTGATCTCAGTGTTGTCTATGTATCGCCCCCCCCCATGAAGTTTTGAATACCTGAGCCAGTACTTATGAGACCCGGTGTGTGTATCATGGCACCATGATCTCAGTCTCTTTATCGCTCCTTAGTAACGTCTACCCAGGAGGAGAACGTGAACTCAAAAGGAAGTGCTGCTCCTGATACTGCGTGATGTACAGCTTCGGCTGCCGCTCTCTAGAGGGCAGCACTGACGCCTATGGCGGGTTTCCTCACTTCAAGACAAATGCCGGAATAGTATGGCCCATATCAAATTGGGTTACAACCGTTTCCTTCCACATCCTTTCCAATTCATTGCTTACCGATCATCGTGAATTGACGCTGTATAACCTCAGCTTCATCAGGTAAACAAAGAGGAAATATACGAAGAACTTCGAGGTTCTCACAACTAGGCGTATGAAGGCCCTGCACTTCAGTACAAGTGCACCAACGTTCCTCTGCATCGATGGTGGACCTTTCCCAAATTACATGGCATTCAAATGCAGAAGAGGAACCTGGACAGCTCAGTCTGCATAGCGACTGCGATACGGGATGGACGTCCGGGTTTTGATTCCCGGTAATGGTTAGAAATGTTTTCTTCTCCATTCAGTCCAGACGGGATTTGCGGCCCAGCCTGCCCCACTTCCAATATGTCCCCGGGGGTAAAACGGCAACAGGGTGAAATTGACCACTCACCTCCATATGGTGCCGAGATTAAATTATGCTTACAGCTGCACCTCCACTATCCCATACGTTTTCATGGTGTAATACTTAGATATGTAAATAAGCAAGGGTAAAACTATCCCTGTAACAGGCCGTGGAGACGCACAAGCTTGTGAGACGTCGAGGCTCCCACATTTTCTCTAGACAATCAGCTCACAGATGGCGGTAAGGTTGTCAGCCTTACACGCCGGCCGCCCTTTACCCCCACGAAGATTCCTGGTACTCATTTCTGTTAAAGGCTGAGTCGATCCCAGGGTCATAGTGCGGCTTGAAGGATTAGGTAAATTAGAAATCCAATGACCTCATCGGGAATCGAAACCATGATCTTCCGGCTTGTAACATAGTGCCTCAACCAACTACGCTACCGTGCCCCTGTGTAATTAAGTACAGGAGTAAATTCACTTTACCTTTACAACTCAGAAAACCGTACTCCTCCTGGAGTACCACGATTTCGTACCATGCTGCGCTATCAGTAACAATGACAGACTAGCGATAAGGTTGGGATAGTGGTAACTCTCTAGACCCAATTAGTGAAGTACTCGGTTCGAATCTTGGCCGGGCACACAAGCTACCCTGACTGGTTTCCCTCCGTCCCACAGAAGAAATATCGGGGTGGTTCCTCGATTAGGTCACGGCAGTTTCCTACCAAATTCCTTCTAATTCATCACTCATCCGTGTCCCTATCATTCGACGCCATAAGCTAGGTACTGCTGGCGTCGTGAAATAAGCCACAGAAGAAAACATAATGGGCTCGCCGGCTGGAATCATTACTTTGATGGCAACATTGTGCGGACACATCTAATTCTAGAGAGGCTTGAATTACTGGGAAGTTGCGATTACATGACCACATTTTCGGCAGAACCTTGCAGGGCCGGTGCGCTGCTGAGAGAGGGCCAGAGCTGAATCCTTACAGTTGCTCAGCTGACTCTTAGTGCTTACGTCGTTTCCGCTGGCTTCCCTCGGTTCATCCACAGAAAGCGACCTGATTCGTGCGGCTGGAGCCACCGGTTCTGACGTCACTTCGCATTCAGACTGCATATCTGAAACAGATCTCAAGTCATTTAAGAGACCGTAGCCCTTGCTGTCGGGATTAATGTTGTGATGAACAGGGAATTCGCTTAGGGGAGAGTGGGGTGGAGTCCAACTGCGTCCACTCGGCACAGAGGCCACTGATTGGCCTACTGCAGCCTGCACCGGGTGATTATGATGAAGGAGAATTTTGTGGAATGAATATTGGCAGGGGAAACCGAAGTACTCGGAGAAAAACCGTCCCAGCGCCACTTTTTCCACCACACAGACCCGGGATCGAACCCGGGCCGCCGCGGTGGGAAGTCAGCGACTAACCGCTTGAGCTATGGCGTGGCTTTCAGACTAGTTTACTTCTTCTTCTTCTTATTATTATTATTATTATTTACTGGTGGTACAACGCTGTGTGGATCTTGCCCTCCTCCATGGATTCATAAGAGCAAATTTTTCAAGGGTGAAATCATTAGCCACACGCCAACCTGTGTATACGTGTATGAGGCATTGTGTTCAGTGTCTTTGTGCCGATATTTTGTGAACGTGTATAAAAACTTTACATTTTAATGATGACTTATTTTAGTTACATCTGAACGGTTATATTGTAGCTTGTACACTCGTTGCTATGTAATGACTCGGTAAACATCGCTCGCTGCTAGGCAGCAGATTCTTAACAAGCAGTATTTCTGTGCGGTCCGTGCCGAGGTATTATAGGCAGGACAGTTCTAGGGTTCAGTTAGTTGAGTTCAGTCATTCAGAAGATTAGGAGGTCGGTGTGAGATGGCCGCCAGCCTGGGAGTCAGTTGTGAGAAATTTGCCAGCCGGTGAACACGTAAACAGAGTTCATTGTTAGAATCCGCTGCCAGAAAACGGCTAGTAAAAAGAAACTGAGAAGACTTAGTATGTGCTGTAGTTAATTGCAGAGTGCGTGAATTAACGGTAGCGCTGTAGTTACTTGTAGTTACTATATGTAAGTGTTCAACAAGTCCAATTACCAATTCAAACCCCTTCTATGGTCACTCGATCACATGACAATATTATATAAAAATGTAAATTTTAGCCTCTTTCTCTCATTTTTAAAGAAAATGAAAGTAGGCTGATGCGATGTTCATGCTGTCTGTGTGCCTATTAATACAAACCTCATCAATTTTTTATTGGCTGAACCAATCTTTATGAAACTTGGTATGTCTATCATGGCACCTGAGCCCATCTCAACGGAGTACTCCATAAATCTCTCTCATCAGTCTGTGTGTCTGCATGTATATCTCCTACCTGTTCTGGGCAAAGGCTAGGTAAAAATGCTACTGCGGCAACGAATACGCAGGCAACAATAGGATTATTGGACGCGTCGTTTTCTGTGCGGTCCATGTCGTATCAACGAAAGTAGGTCATTAGTTCTTCTCAGAACGAACTTCGTTATTAAAATTGCTGACATTTTGGTGATCATGCAGTTGAGGCCGCTGTTGGGAATCTGTGCGTATATGTTACTGTTTTGACTGAAATGTACAGTTCTTTGTCTTCGAGACTTTGTGTCTAACCTGACTCGACCCCTTCCACGGAGTCCTCCTTCATGAGCGGCAGTGCGGTGGACGGTTCGGACGTGGGTCGAACCCCTCCATGTGACATAATTCCTTGCACCAGATCCATGCGTGAGTCAAGCGAAAATTGCTTGCCTGTCATTAGGATGCCTCGTATGCGCCTGCGCATGGCTGAAATCGGAACAAACAAACACCTCAATCTATTTACCCCTCGAATTATCAGAAGAAAGGAGCAAAGTGTATCATCGAAAGGGGCCCATTTATGAACCACTGTTTATTTAGCTCACAAATGAAAGCATTTTTATGGCCATGAGAAGTCACTGTGTTCTACGATAATGTCTAATGGCTTTCTTGACATAAAATTAATCGTAAATTGCAACGTACAATTTTCGGGATGGAAAAAGTAATGAAGCGATATGACATAATCACCCTCCATTACAATCTTTCTCTATGTCTCTACAGCCCTTTGAACCTTGGCCGCTTTTTGAGGTTCTTAATCCTATACAAAGTTGGGAGGACTCCTTAGACGGGGGATCAGCCCGTCGCAATGCTGCTACCTCCACATAGAACAACATTGATACAGAAAAACGCACATAGACATCCATGCCTGAGTAGGATTCAAACCCACGATCCCAGCGTTCGAGTAAGAGAAGACATATCATGTCTAAGACCTCGTGGCAACTCTGATTGGCTCTTGATTACATTGGACACAGTTAAATAACAGATTTCTTTTGCATTTACACACGCGCACACAGCGTTGTCTGTATCAGTGTTCAACGTCCGTTCTCGTATATGCAGTTTCCAGGCACTTGCACAGTCCTGTTTCAGTTAAACTAAACTCCGTGGCTTGAGTCCGCAAGCGAAATATACCGACCGAGGGACCGCCACTTTTCGGCGAAGTTAGTGCCAACTTTAGCGGATAGAGTGTGTCGGGTGGTCAGCGCAACGAATTCCCACTGCCGTTAATTTTGGTTTTCTAGGTCGGAGCCGCTATTTCCTTGAAATAGCTCCTCAATTATCCTCACTGAGTGGACACCATTCCAGACCCACTATTTCTCAGAAAAGAATCTGGTAACGTCGGGAATCGAACCCGGACCTCTGGATCTGTTGGCAGGAACTCTGACCACTAGACCACAGAGGCGGTCCACTTTCGATTACAATGGTTACTCACTGGGTCTTCAGAATTAAAAAAAAAGGGCAATATTCATTAAGAACTGTAAATTGACACAAAGTAAATTTCTTTTCTTCAAGATTTCTTAGGCATATGAAAATATCAGTCTCCAAGAAAGAAAGATATCTCTGGAATTTATCAGAATGTAGGTTGGGGGTGCGTAATTGACGCGAAGTTTAAAATTCTCCAGGATTAATCATTTCCTTAATGGAACTAGAGAAGGATCCACCTAACTCCATTATGCAGAGTTATTCTTGACAACATCTACAGTCGCTCATCTAATCAGGAATTTTCCCGCATTTTGTGAATCCAAAGACATATCACATTACCGTACATGCTAAAAATGATCGATGAATGTCTATTAAGTGTATGTTTTTCTGTTCTGTGAGGGGTCTAATTCGGAAAAAAGTCAGATGTTTCGGAGAATCATTACCTCAATCTTCAGGTTCGAGAAATAAACTAAGCAAGAAACCAGCAGAAGGAGGCGACGAGCTGCTTGAACCCTGCTTCTGCCCGCTTTTGCTTAGCTTACTCTGACTTACCTGGACTGTCTTTTACTTCGAGACGAAGCCTAGAAAACGTCTGAGCGAAACCTTCAAGGATTTTGTCTCCGTTATCGAAGATGGCAGCGAAACTTCCGTTGACAATTTTTGGCGACATTGGTGAATTGGCTAGAAGAAGACTGGACCCAAAGTTTGCATTTCGCTCTCGGATCTCTGTGCAAAGGACAAAGCATGTTCAGCATATTAAGCAGCCTACAAGGAATTGCTTAAGCCTACACACACAAAATACAATCCGTAAGTAAAACAGAGCTGTTATGACAGCAAGAGGATGGAAATATCTGCAGAATCAGTTTTCGTATCATAGTCTGGCTGCACGCGGTAGCGTAGTTGGCCGAGGCACTTTGCTACAAGCCTGAAGGACGCGGGTTAGATTCCCGAGGAAGTCAGTGGATTTTTCAATTGACCTAATCCTTCCAGCCGCACTGTGGCCCTGGGGTCGACTCAGCCTCTAACAGAAAAGCGTATCAGGAATCTTCCTAGGTGGTAAAAGGCGGCCGGTGCGTAAGGCTGACAATCTCACCGACAGCTGTGAGCCGATTGCCTAGAAAATGTGGGAGCTTCGACGTCTCACAACCCTATGGGCCCCCACGGCCTGTCACAGCACATTTTACGCTTTTTCGATTCCGTATGTGTATTCGCATATAGATATGTGTGTGTCTGCAAGGCTCATGGAGTGATGAGAGCGGACATGCCCGCCATCTGTGTGTGTCACGAGAAACCACTAGACGAGAACTAGAATTCCACTAAGAGCAGTCATGTATCAGTTACAAGTGTTGCCTTGAGTGATACCGTTTCTGATTTATTTTCGGGAGGGTGCACGGTTCGAATCTCTGCACGGACATCGACTATCATTTCTGAAGTTTTATGTAGTTCTTATTTTCTGTCACACCAGGCAAATGTCGCTGTCCCTGTAACAGGCCGTGAGTACCCATAGAGTTGTGAGACGTCGAGGCTGTCTTTCTAGACAGTCGGCTCACAGATGGCGGTGAGGTTGTCAGGCTTATGCGCCGTTTGCCCTTTACCCCCAGGAAGATTCCTGGTACTCATTTCTGTTAGAGGTTGAGTCAACCCCAGGGCCATAGTGCGGCTGGAAGGATAGGTCAATTGGACCTTCGGGCTTGTAGCATAGTGTCTCAACCAACTTCACTACCACGTGCCCCTTAGGGTTTCAAATTATTCCAAAACAGCTTCCTTCCACATCATTTATGGATCATTTCTCATTAATCATCTTATCATTTAACGCTACACGCAGTAACCTGAGATACCGACAGTCGTTAAACTATATATATATATATATATATATAATACACTTTGCTTAGTTCATGAAATCTTATTTGAGCAAATATTTTCTGACAGTCCGCTCTTGCAGTCACACGTATTCCAGAATAAGTCTCGATAGCTCTGTCAGTGCAGTGACTGAGATACAGTCTAAACAACCAGCGAATCCATTTCGATTCCTGGTAGAGGGGGCAGGACTTTTATCTTTTCCACACTCTCGAGATCTTCATAGCGTTGTGCTTAATTATTGAATCACGTGGATAATTTTACCTTTATTTCTTACCGTGTCCTGCAATGTGACAACGGATTGGTTGCTAGAAGTTTACAGACGTTTCAGAGGAACGTACTGCTGTCATCTTCAGGACCGAAGAGGAAGACGAGCAATGCAATATGCCATATAACTCTGTAGATGAAAGCAATATCTCTATCTCAGGGTCTACAACCCTTGAGGAACTTGGTCATTTTTTCTGTTTATTATTCCATACATATTCGATAGCACTCCTTGGACGGGGGATCAGTCCGTCGTAAGGCTGCTACCTACACACACATAACACAAACACAGAATAGATGGATACAGACATGCATGCCTCGAGTGGGATTCGAACTCACGATCCCATTTTTCGAGCAGGGGAAGTCTGTTCATGCCTTAGACCGCGCGACCACTGTGATCAGCTAAAACAATATATTTCTACTTAAACTTCTGCCAGGCAACATGGCAACATTCCAGAAGAAAGCACATTTCCTAGTTACCTCTAAGAGAACTTCAAATCTCTCCTTAAGTATGCACAGGCCTATGTTGTTCCCTTACTGTGGCAGACCAATATTCGTACCCATACAATAGAGTTCCACGATAACTCCAACTGCGAAATGAGAACCAAGTCTCCGTTACTACAGGGGATGCATGATACACAAACAGCTGCAGCAAAAGATATACCCAACGATGCGAGAACGAATAAAATCACCAACAAAAACTACACTACAGGGAGCAACATTTGCCCAAGTTCTAAAACAACAAATACAACCCACACAAACGATCCCTGAAGTCAATCAATACAATGCCTCAGTAATGACACAACCAGCCACTGAATTGGCAGAACTAACCCAAATGATGAAAAAGCTAATGGAACAGTTGGGCACAATGTTAAACCTTCTCACAACGCTCATAACTAAAATTGCTTAATGGCGGTACAAATTCTCCAAATCGGAGTGTGGAATGCCAATGGGCTGTCACAACACGCACAGGAACTCAAAATATTCTGACAAAACAACTGCATTGACATCATGCTGATTTCTGAAGCACACTTCACTGACAGGACTCATCTCAAATTACCAAACTACAATATATGTCATACACAACACCCAGATGGCACTGCACTAATTATCAGAAGAAACATTCAGCACTACGAAAGAATGGAGTACAAACAAGAAAATATTCAAGCTACCAGTGTAACCGTTCAAAACTATGCCGGTGATCTAACCTTCTCTGCAATCTATTGCCCACCAAAACATAATAACAACCGTAAGGACTATGAAAAATTCTTCAGAACACTGGGCAATAGGTTTATAGTAGCTGGTGATTTTAATGCCAAGCATACAGCGTGGGGATCACGAATCACTAATACTAAAGGGAGAGAGCTGCTGACCGCTCTGGGAAACAATAATCTAAGTTATTTATCCACGGGGCAACCGACATACTGGCCCACTGACACCAAGAAAATACCAGATCTGCTCGATTTCTGTGTAATCAAAGGAATTCAGATGAAACGATTCTCGATAGAATCATCCTTAGACCTTTCCTCAGATCACACCCCACTTCTAGTAACCCTCTATTCACACATAATTGAAAAAGAAAAAGGGCCGTCACTGTATAACAAGCGTACAAACTGGAATTATTTCAGAGAAAAATTGGACGAAATAATTGCTATAGATATTCCACTAAAAACTGCAATGGATATTGAAACAGCAGTTGAAAACCTAACTAAAGCCAAGCCATTC